CAACTGCTATATGCTCTTGCTGAATTGACTTCTTTAAAATTGTGTAATGACCTTCTTTGTCATTTTTTTTTACAGGTTTTGACTTAAATTCAGTTTAATCTGAAAGAACTATACCTACTCCTGCTTGTTTGGGTTTACATTTTCTTGAAATGTTTTTTTCTACCCCTTCACTTTGACTCTGTGTGCATTGTTACAGGTGAAGTGGATTTTTGGCAAGTAGCATATATTTGGGTCATTTTTTTTTTTTAGCCAATCAGACAGTTTATATCTTTTAGTAGGGGAATTTAGTTCATTTATTTTCAGGGCTACTAGTGATAGGTGAGGACTTACTCCTGTCATTTTGTCCATTGTTTTCTGGTTATTTTGATTATCTTTTTTTCCATTCTTCCTCTCTCATTGTTTATCATTGCAGTTTTGTGATAATGTTTGATTCCTTTCTCTTTCCCATTTGTGTATCTGCTTTACTGGTGAGTTAAATTCTTTTGCATTTTCTTCATGGTGGTTATTGTCCTTTCACTTCCACATGTAAGATTCCCTTGAGTATTTCTTGTAAGGTCAGTCTAGTGGTGATAAATTTGCTCAGGTTATACTCACCTGGAAAAGACTTCATTTATTTATTTATTTACTTATTTATTTGTTTGTTTGTTTGTTTGTTTATCTCCTCTATTCCTGAAGGGTAGCTTTGCTAGGTATGGTATTTTTGGCTGGTGTTCTTTTTCTTTCATTGCTTCGAATATACCATCCCATTGTCTCCCACCTGTAAGGTTTCTGATGAAAAATCTGCTGTTAGTCTAATGGGGATTCATGTATATGTGACCTGATGCTTTTCTCTTACTCTTTTTAGAATACTCTCTTTGTCTTTAATTTTTGACATTTTAACTGTAATGTGCCTGGGACAGTCCCTTTTTGGTTTGAATCTATTTGGGGACTTTTGAACTTCCTGAATTTGTATGGCCATCTCTCTACCAAGACTTGAAATGTTTTCAGCTATTATTTCATCAAATAAGTTATCTATGCCTTTTCCCTTCTCTTCTCCTTCAGGAATGCCTATAATTCCACTCTTTTTTGTTCTTCTTTATTTTTTCACTCTTTTTTGTTCTTCTTTCTTTCTTTTTTTCTCTGACTGGGTAAATTAAATGANATATGGTCCACTTAATGGTGTCATTCTTGTAAGCTTTTTTCACTCTTTTTTGTTCTTCTTTCTTTCTTTTTTTCTCTGACTGGGTAAATTAAATGACCTGTCTCTGAGCCTAGATATTCTTTCTTTGGCTTGCTCTTGTCTGCTATTTATGAGAAATGTAGGTTTTCTTGAGAGAAGAGGACATGAAAAGACTATAGGAAAAGAATGCTGTCAACTTTCCAAAGACCTAATTCAAGGAATATATTACTAAGCTATACTTATATCTATATGGACCAATGTTTTCCTCCTAAATTTATTTTTCCATTGTATTTAGCTATGGCATTAACTATTGTAAACTTAAACAGTATTTAACTTCTGATTGCATCATGAATCATAAATATACTTCGTAATTGATTTTGTTCAGTGACCTCCATGAATTCACACTAATTAGAGAAATCTATTCAACCACTGTATTCTGATCATGACCTTAACATGGAAAAATAAAATCTGTTGCTAATGTTAAAGGAACTCGTGATTTTGTGGCCTGTAATCACTTAAGAAGCTACAAGTATTATTCTGATAGCATCCTCAACCCTGATGGCTTTGCTGGATTCCCTTGTACCTCTTATGAAGATTTTACTAAAGTAAGTAAACTCTACCTTCCACATAAAGAGTATTGTGATTGTCACAGTCATGTCACATGTCATTCATGTGGTTCACCATACATGACATAATTCAGTGAATGTTTATATGAGGGTTCTTCAAAAAGAAGTTGTGAGAAATGGAATTAAAAGATAATACAAATATTTCCATGAACTTTTTGAAGACCACTTATACTTTCAAATTTATTTATAAATTAAACCATAGATGCATATTTTAATAATGATAAATTAGATAACTTTAGAAAATTGGCTCATAAATTAAAATTTCCCATGTTTATTACTCCATTTCCATAATTTATAACAAAATACCTGAAACTGGTTGATTTGTAAAGAAAAAATATACTTATTGCTTACAGTTTCTGAGGCTGGTTAGTCCAAAGTCCATCTGGTGGTGGTGACAGTGACCCAGGGGTCTCACATTGCAAATGGTGGAAGCAGAGAGCAGAGTGAGAGAAAGACAGCCTCTCCTCTTCTTTTAAAGCCCTCAGAACCATACCCTTGACCACCATTTGTAATCCATTCACTACTGCATTGTCCTACAATCCAATCACCTCTTCAAGGCTCCACCTCTCAATTACCATAATAGGACTTCCCACACTCTTAACAGTCACAGTGGGGGCTAAGTTTCTAATACATGAAACTTGGGGGACACAGTTCAAGCTTCAGGGAGTTTTGGGGGGCATAATTCAATCTACTACACCATGTCTACCTTGATTTTTATCATTTTCTGTATTTGTCAAGTAAATACTAAACCTTGTTTTGAACATAGTCCTAAACAATAACAACAACAAAAAACTAGTTCATGAAAATCCAAGCAATGTATGTAGAATGCTGATAAACATGGAAGGTTTTTCTTAAATGTGGACATTTTATACCACA